TCCTCTCGTTTCACGACACCTTCCTTGATTTTCTGCTGGATCCCTTCCCCAACCTCATTCTCGTTCTGGTACACGTAGGCACAGTCAAAGTGCCGGTACCCAGCGTCGATGGCAGCCATCACTGCAGCTGCTACTTGCCCTGGTTGGGACTGAAAGAAGAGGGTTAAAATCCCAAATCAAAGCATTCAGGCCATTTTCCAGTTATCTAGAAACTAAGGAAACACATACAAAGATGTTTTAAGAAGTGTTCTTCCATCTGGTGTTTTTACAGCTGTATTCATCTTACAATGCAGGCTCCAGGGCTGGAAACCAGTCTCCAAGTATTTATCCACAGCCCCACTCCCAGCCAGGGCTCAGCCAAACAGCTCTGCAGAGCCCCAAGCACCAGAAGTTCTGCAGAGGTGGACCAGGGGGATGGCATTTTGTGCCTGGGAGCACTGCAATGCCCCTTGCCCAGAACTCCTTGCTTCCTCGTGCCGTGTCTGAGATGAGAAGCAGCAACTGCCCACCCAGGAGAGTTTTAGTGTGATGGAGGGGCAAGGGTCCACATCTTAGTCATCCACATCACCAGGGTGCACTGTGCCTCGCTTCAGCCCAGCTCCCCCCCTGGGCACATCCCACCCCTCATCTGAGAGTTACACCTGCTGCTTCCTTCAGAGCTGGACGTTTCCATGTGTTTCTCTACCCTGCAAGGGCACGTAAGAGCTGTGCACAAAGAAGCGCTGGCACGTCTTGTTCAGACAAACCCAGCAATGTTTGTTCTCAGGCATGGCAGGGAACAACGTTTGATTTCGCAGTCACCAGAACAGCGGTCCGTATCTCTTTTGTCAGAACTTGTTTGAAACGCATGAACTGTTTTCTAAAGCCACATCTCATTGCCGAGCGCTTCAAGGCAACCTCACCCTGGGCTGCAGTGACTGACTGGGCACAGAGGCAGCAGCACGCAAACCTTCGCTGCGGGCTGGGGTGGCCGGGGAGCGGGAGGAGAGGGGCTCGGGACGTCGCTGCAGCCCAAAGGGGATCCGCGCTCCCCCGCGGGGAGGGACGGGGTCACCTCCCGAGGGCCCCGCTTCCCGCGGGGATGGGGAGCGGCAGGAAGGACGAGGAGCACGGGACAACAGCCCCAAAGCAGCGCGGGGCTCCTCC